GGCAGCGCGGGATGGTTTAGAGCATAGAGGGGTGGGGGAAATGGGGGCATTATGAAGTCACCGAAGGAGGTCTAGAAATGAAATTCCCCCGCCGGCTCCGTGCCAACAAGGCACGCTCCAAACGCCCTATCGTCTGCCGACCCTAACTATGTGCCCCCCTCTCCCCCGGCCGCATTCCCGCACATGCCGAGGTGAGGGGGGCCTGGCCGGGGGGCCTGGTCGGGTGCGCGGCCGGGAGGAGGGCTAAAGAGCAGCCAATGCAGTGGTCGATGCGGGCTGAGCGCGGGACACGTACGCGCCATAGCCATCAGATCTAGCTGGAGCCGTTCTCTAGAAATTCTCGGATTTTCTCCAGCCAGGTCACCCTTACTTCCTCATCCCCCTAAGTCTTCTCCCCCTCGTCCGCCCGTTCTTCTCTGCCCCTCTGTGCAGCGTCCGTGCCTCAGCGTGCCCCAGCCCCAGCGATTCCCACCCAGCACTCACTCCAGCCCAACATGTACAGCCTCCAGCGCCTCCAGCGAGCCTCCAGTGTGCACCGTAAAAATATTTTTATCATTTCTTTTTGAAACTTACAATTTACAAGCGATGTTTTAAATTCACGATCAGTGTCGTAAATTTACGACATGCCTTTTTTGTATGTCAAAGAAATCCAAGTCAACAGAATTTTGTAATTTTACAACTCTAAATCGTGGCAATTCTCATGGGGCAATTTTTACGAAGCACTGCTTCGAAATATTTTTCACCGTGTTCGGGTCGGATCTTCGCATCTCTCGCATTGTGTCCCTCTTCCATAGTATATAGAGTTCGGCAGCGCGGCCCACAACCTCCGCTCCGCAGCAGGAGGCTCCGTATCCGGCGGATGGCCGCGGGTGGTGAATCGCGGATGAGACGTGTCACGGGGGGATTGGGTGGGGATAATAACTGGAGAGGAGACCGGGCCCCGGTAGAGGAGAGGAGCAATTGCTTGGGAAAACTGGATCGCTGCTGCTGGAGCGCTAATCAATACGAATCAATGCTGGTGTGCCCGAGGCAGAAGGCGACTTTTTTTTTCTAACGTAAGTTGGAGTTGACGCTCAGCAGATTATTTCTCCCTCAGGTTTTCGCGAAACACATTCACGACTGAAAGTGACGAGAACTCAAATAAAACGTGGACAAAAGTGACTAATCGTGCGTTGATCGTATCAAGAATGAATAAAATTGAGGGGATATGGGCATAGAAATGAAGTAAATGTTGTAAAACGGTAAAAAAGTGGATGGAAAATTACGGAAAGTGAAAAGTTGAGGTGTACGCATTTTCACGTATAGTGATCACCCCCTCGCACATACATGCCGCGCAACATTCTCGTTCCTAAAGTGAGGTACTAGTTTTAACGGTCCACCTCGTTCACCGCCTCCTCCGCTTCCCCGCCTAGTGCCGCGCGCTGCGCTGAGGGAAATTAATCCGGCTCCTTTCGCGACGGCACGCGGCCAACTTGCTAAACTTTCTCTTCCCGGCCACTCTTTAACGGGCCGGCGCGGTATATGGGATAGGTAGCTAGGCTCCCCTGCTCCCGGCTCCCGCTCCCCGCCCTGCTTTTGTCTTTGTGTTTGCGACATCAAAAGCGGCCCGAGGCGATGCGCGCGCGCGCCGTGCCGCCTGCTGCCGCCCCTCCACTCATCTCGTGGTTCCGTGAAAAAAAAAAAAAAAGAAACTGGAAAGATTTTTTCACCAGCTTGTTCGACTGAACTTGAACGCCCTGAACAAGAAAATGGATGAATTAATGCACCTTGCCTTT